GACAGGACTGTGCCCGCCGTCCCCGCCTGCTCTGTCCGCGCGCACCCTATCTGGCTGTTCCAGGTGCTCCGGATCCCCTGGATGGGGACACCTGTGTAGCTTTGCAAGTGCAGCTTTTTCTGCTAAGCTTTCTTCCTTCCTGCATCTTCAACAGGTCACTTCCCAAACGTCCTTCCAAATCCTGGCTGGATAGATTTCTCCTCCTTGAAGTCCCCACAGCTGCTCTGTACCGATGGGCCCGGGGCATTCACTACTCACCACTGCAATTCATTCCTCTTTCTTCCCAGCTCTCCCCCTCCCTGCCTTCATTCCTTCCACAGCTAGTATTGGGCACTTGACCATGTTCAGATACCCCAGGGTGCTGAGAAAACAGTGATGAGCCAAAGCAGACCCAGACTCTACCCTCAAGAAGGAGTTTGAAATCCCACGGTGGCCACATAAATTCATCAGACCATGAACATGAATAATACACAAGTCAAATCTTTTCTTTAAAGAAGTTAAGCTGACAATAAAAGATCGTCTCCATGATTTAAACAACAATAAAAAAAACGGGGTGCCCAACTGGCTCAGTTGGTGGAGCTTGTGACTTTTCCTTTCAGGATTGTGAATTCAAGCCCCACATTGGTTGTAGAGATTACTTAAAAAAAAAAAAAAAGGTTGAGAAAAAGGTACATTAAAAGTCTTGTGGTCTCGGATCCCTTGCAGGTTAAGTAAAGCCTGAGGTCTTAGGACTTTGTCAAACTCAGGTTTCTTTATGTGTAAACATGAGGGAGAGAGAGTACTTTATTCACCATGGAACACCTTCCATGAGCAGAACCCTAGGTTTACCAAGAGAGCTGTCCTGGGCTCGGAGCTCTGTAAGAGAACCAGAAGAGGAGAGATCCCAGCGTGAAATCTCAACCCACGATTCACTTCCACAGGGAAGGCCTTGCTCCCTCTGAGAAGATGGCGGCTTTCACTGCTCAGGGCTTTCCTTTCTAGTGTTTTGTTTTTGTTTTTGTCCACTGTCAGTGCAGAGCCCAACACAGGACTTGAACTCATGACCCTGAGATCAAGACCTGAGCTGAGATCAAGAATCAGATGCTTAACCAACTGAGCCACCCAGATGCCCCTCCTTTATAGTGCTGATCACTGTTTGGAATTGTGTAATTGTCTTATTATTTGAGTTCCATCTCTTACTGGGCTAGAAATTCCATGGGAATGGTAAAAAGATGGCTTTTTTGAGATATAATTCATACATCATAAAACCCTTTTAAAGTATACAATTCAGTTGCCTTTAGCATATTCAGAGTTGTGAAGCCATCAACACAATCTAATTTCTTTTTTTAAAAATTTTTTATAGTTTATCTTTGAGACAGAGAGACAGAGCATGAGTAGGGGAGGGACAGAGAGAGAGGGAGACAACAGAATCTTAAACAGGCTCCAGGCTCTGAGCTGTCAGCACAGAACCCGACTCGGGCCTGGAACCCGTGAGATCATGACCTGAGCCAAAGTCGGATGCTTAACCGGCTGAGCCACCCAGCCGCCCCTACAATATGTAATTTCAGAATGTTTTCATGATCCCAAAAAGAATCCCCATATCCATTAGCAGTCACCTCCCAGTGCATTAACCTCCACCCACCCCTAGCTCCCAGCAACCACTAATGTACTTTATGTTTGTATGGATTTGCCTATACTGAACATTTCATATCAATGGGATCAAACAATATGTGGCCTTTTATGACTAGCTTTTTTTCCACTTAGCATAATGTTTTCAAGGGTCATTCATGTTCTTTTTATGGCCAATATTGCATGGTGTACGGATCTATTACATTTTTTTTTCCCGTTCATCAGTTGATGCACATTTGGGTTGTTTCCATTTGGAGACTATTAGTGATGCAGGCTGGCTGGGTCCAGGGACCCAGAGGAAGTCCTGCAGGACTGGCCAAGAGGGTCTTTTGTTTCTTGCAGGGTAGAAATCAAGCACAAGCTGAGAGGAAGTGAGAGCAGCATTTATTGAGGACATAAAGCAGGTACAGACTAAGCATCTGGGCAACTGAGAAAGGAAAGAGGAGTGAGTCTCATGTTTCTTTGGGGTCTGGGTTTTCATTGAGGATTATGGTCAGTGTACATGTCTGCACAGGCATCCAGCAACAAAGAGGAGTGTTTAGGTGTCCTCCATCAGTCATTTATGCCCTGGAGCCAGCGGCCTTGGTGAGTCAGTGGTCTTGAAAAATGGTTCATGAGGACCCACTGATCACTCCTTAGATGTTATCTGTTGCACTAAATGACTCCAAAGAAATCATTAACTCCTTGACCTTTACAAGGAGGACGTACATTATATGTACCAGCAAGCGTGCGTAGGGCAGGGGTATAGGTCCTAGCAAGAATAGAGGCAGCAAAAAAGTAGACTTTCATGGAGTCCCTTCAGTTTCCCTGTCTTGGTATGAATAATGCTGCTAGAAACATTCGTGTACAAGTTTTTGCGTGGCCACATGTTTTCATTTCTCTTGGGCACACAGCAAGGATTGGAATTGCTAGGTCCTCTGTGTTTCATGTTTTGAAGAACTGCCAAAGTGTCTTCCACAGTAGCTGCTCTATTTGACCTTCCACAAGCAGTGGATGAGGGTTCCAGTTTGTCACATCCTCACCAACACTTGTTTATTTTCTGATTTTGTTTTTCTAATAACAACTGTAATGGGTGTGAGGTGGTATCTCATTGTGGTTTTGATTTGCATTTCCCTAGTGATTGAGTGTTGCACATCTTTTCATTTGCTTATTGGCCATTTCCAAGTCTTTGTAGAAATATCTATTCAGTCCTTTGCCCATTTTTGAACTTCATTGTCTTTTTATTATTGAGTTGTGGGAATTCTTTGTGTATTCTGGATACAGCCTCTTATTAATACATGATTTCCAGACATTTTCTCCCGTTCTGTGGGTTGTCTTTTCACTTTCTTGATGTTGTCATTTGAAGCGCGAAGGTTTTACATTTTGAAGTCCAATTTAGATGTTTTTCTCTTCTGTTGCTTCTAGTTTTGGTGTCATATCAAAGAAACCATCGTCTAAGTCATGAAGATTTGCTCCTGTGTTCTTGTAAGAGTTTGATAGTTTTTTTTTTTTTAAATGTTTTATTTATTTCTAGGAGAGAGAGAGAGACAGCGTGAGCAGGGTAGGGTCAGAGAGAGAGGGAGTCACAGACTGAAACGGGCACCAGGCTCTGAGCTGGCAGTCAGCACAGAGCCCGACGCGGGGCTCGAACCCACGAACCGCGAGATCATGACCTAAGCGAAAGTTGGACACTTAACCGACTAAGCCACCCAGGCGCCCCAAGAGTTTGATAGTTTTAATCTTCCATTTAGGTGTATGTCTATCTTCTAGATTATATCCCCAGTGCCTAGAATAACGTCTGATGAAGAGAAGGCAGTCGATACTTACTGAGTTAAATGAATGAATCAATATCTCTCGAGTGAATAAATGAATGAATGAATGAACAGATATCTGTTGTCCCAGAAATGTTGCTACCTATGCAGGGCCCCGCGGCTGAGAAAGTGGCATCATTACAGACGAGAGGCTCCAGTCTGTTTTAATCTCAGCCCCAGTGAACCTGCCTTTACTGAGGTCTCACAGTTCCTTTTCTGCCAGTTCCTCCTTTCCCACTGTCCCTCAATTTGCTTCTCTTTAGTTTCTCTCTTGACAAAATATAGCTACCACATTTCCTAAATAAATTGTTTCTGCCCTACTTTGGTTAAATTTCAAACATGGTAGATACAAGAAAAATGTTCCTGTCATTAAAAATCTTGGTTGGCTTGATATCTCTTGTTGGCTTGTGTTAGAGAAATAAATTTGGATAATATGGCAGTGTACAAATTACAAAGTAAAAGTTGCCTCCTTGGGTGGGAGGAAGTATGCTTGGAATTTACTTTTAGAAAAAAGTGTATGTGCGTGCAGGGAGAGAAAATGTAAAATGAAAACTAAGGAGCCTGGGTGAAGGGTATTTAAGGAGTTCTTTGTACTATTATTTTAACAGCTTTTTGTACATTAAAATATTTTTTAAGTGTTTATTTTTTTATTTTGAAAGAAAGAAAGAGCTCAGGGGAGGGGCAGAGAAAGAAGGAGAGAATCCCAAGCAGGCTCTGCACTGTCATCACAGAGCCCAGTGTGGGGCTCGAATTCACAAACCACGAGATCATGACCTGATCCGAGATCAGGAGTCAGATGCTTAACTAACTGAGCCCTTCAGGTGCCCCATATATTAAATATTTTTTAAAAGTCATCTCTCAGAGGCACCTGGGTGTCTCAGTCAGTTAAGTGCCTGATTTTGGCTCAGGTCACAGTCTTGTGGTTTGTGGGTTCGAACCCCATGTCCAGCTCTGTGTTGACAGCTCAGAACCTGGAGCCTGCTTCGGATGCTGTGTCTCCCTCTCTCTCCACCCCTCCCCCACTCATACTCTGTCTCTCTTTCTCTAAAAATGAATAAATGTTAAAAAAAAAATTTTTTTTAAAGTCATCTCTCACAGTCCCACCAGAGAGGGAATTAAGCCAGGGTCCCTGAGGGGGGCCCTGTGTGCTAGGTGTTTACATTCATTTTCCATTTAATCTTCAGCTGTTGAGAAGGGGGCAATGTGAAGGCAAGTGACTAGGCTGGCACAACTGGGTTGAGTAGGACAACCGGAATTGGGATGCGGGTCTCCAATCTCCAGGCCTATATTCTTTTATGGCTTATATATCTCAAATACTAATCCTTTCCCCAGGGAATGACTGGTGTCTTTGGTGCCTATTGTCTCCTTGTGACTCTGTCATCATGTCCTTGACACTTCACGAGCCTGTGCTCACTGAGGGCAGATGGGAGATGGTCTGGGAGTTTCTGGAATAGAGGGGCTGCCATCCTGGGACTTGAAGGGTCAGGAGGGAATCACTGACCCCCACCAGCCAGCAGGCAGGTCGCCGTGTCTCACTTTCCTGGGGCATCTGTGGCTCTCAGGAGGCATCCCTGACCCGCTTCTGTCCTGCCTGTCCTTCAGGAGCTGAAGCTGCCCACCTTCCGCGCCCACTCCCCACTGTTGAAGAGCCGCCGGTTCTTTGTGGACATCTTGACCCTGCTGAGCAGCCACTGCCAGCTGTGCCCTGCGGCCCGGCACCTGGCTGTCTACCTGCTGGACCACTTCCTGGACCGCTACAACATCACCACCTCCAAGCAGCTGTACACTGTGGCGGTCTCCTGCCTCCTGCTCGCAAGTATGTGGAACCGCTTCTATCCACCCCCACCTTAGAACCTGGGTGCTCCTGAGTCATTTTACACTTCTGAGGTGTTTGCACATCTTCTGTGTCCATCCTGTGCTGAATGCAAACTATGGTCATAATAATCAACACTTTCTTTAGCATCGGTAATATACCAGGCTAAGTGATAAGGATTTTAGCAGCTTAATCGTAGTGCATCCACACAGTGACCCAAGGAGACAGATTCTTGTAGTACCCCCAACTTACCGAGACACAGAGAGGTTAAGAGACTTGCCTTGGGTCGTCTAGCTGGTATGTAGCAGACAAGATTCTGGCCCAGAACTGCATGATGCCAAGACCTGTACTCTTAAGTCAATGTCACCAGCAGCATAGGTTCCTCTGAATGTGCTGGAAGGGAAACCCTAGCAACCACTGTTCTTAGAGGTGTTTAGAAATGTGACTGCTTGACTGGAGCCAAGCAGGGCCCATTATGTTGTCGTCAGGCCTAGGCAACAGGCCTCTTAGGGTTTGCATCTTCCAATGAGGCCCCACAAAAAACACAGTGTAGCTTTGACCATCTTTCTGTCTGCCTGAGTAGGGACTACTGCATGAGTATGCTGCTCAGGTCATGTGTTTAAGCACAGCTCTGTCATGCCATCTTGCCACTTAAAATTGCTCCCTGGTTTACCAACAGTCTGAGGATAGGGATCGTTTGTCAAGATCCTGTCTCGCTGACCTCATACATTTCCCCTCTTCAGGCACTGAGTTCCAGCTAGGCCCCCTCCTGTCATAGAACTTTGCACATGCTGTCTCTTCCACCTAGAGTGCTTCCCTACCCCACCCATCCAGTCCCAGTTAAATGTCACTCGGGCCCCACATCCTTAAGAAAGCCTTCCACCACACACTCAACAAGTACACATTTCCATGGCATCAGGCACTCTTAATTAACACCCCCCCCTCCACTAAATAGTGAGTTTCAGGGAGGGAAAGGAACCTTGTACATCATAAGACTTGGAAAAAATATTTGTGGAATAAAAGAAATGAATGGAGCTAGGGGTTCCTTCCAAGCTGGGCTTCCACACTTCTCCAGGGTGTCTTTGATGAAGAGGAGTGACATGCCCCAAAGCAGCTAGCTACAATCATGACATTTCCTTGACATCTAGTATTTTCTCCTTACAATTCAGTCAGATTTTACATTCCACTCTACAACATGTTATCATCCTGTTTTATTATATCAGCCCCTCACCCATCCTTGAGTCCTACTGATGCCACCAGAGGATGGTACCCATTTTCTCCTGTGGCTTTGTCTGTTCTTGGGATGCCTCCGTGAACCCTGTGGCCACGATCACCCGGTTTCAGAAGCATGGCTGTAGAGTTTCAGACATTCTGTATTGTTTTCCACCATGGCACTTTCCACCTGCTGTTATAATCCCTCTGGATGTGCAGCCTCCCAATGTGATTTGCTCTCCCTTGGGCCAGCTGGGATTCCTGTGTTCTGCAGAGAAGGCAGGCTTGCTGGGTGGGAATCCAGCCTGCCTGCTACTTCAGAGTCCCAGATCAACATGTAGCTCTCTTCGTCTTGGGAAGAGATGCAGGGCTTGTAAGACATCCCCGTTGGCCGAGGGCAGGACAGGCATCACATTTCAGGCGGCCCAGGAGAAGCTTGCGCCATGGCCTTTGGCCTGCTGCTGTCTGTGATCTGTGGGCTGCATCGAGGCCCCATGGGGGCTGGGGACTTAGATTTCCATGAGGCCATGGAGGCTGTCCCCCAGCGTCTGTCTGGGGAACTGGGACGTGAGGTGCACACTGGAGACTGCTTTGTGCTGCTGCCGCCATGGCAGAGGGAAGGGGGCCTTTCAGACGGAGAGGCAGACACCCCCACCCACATGTCTGAAGGCAGCAGCCAGCCTGGGGCAGCAGGAATGGATTTTTCAGGACACCTGCCATATGCTCAGAGGCCCAAGGAAAGAAAAGTTTCCATGACAGCCTGAAATCCTATTCATTGCTCCCCCCACCCCCAGGCTGACTGCGACTGCTAGCCACAAGGGTTGGGGGGTCACCGTGCCTCAGAAGTTTTGAGTTCTGCTAATTCTGTACCAGATAATTCCTAGATAAGAAGAGCAATAGTTCTTGCACCCACCTGTCAGTTCTGCAGTTTTTAGAGCTGTGTCCAGATAAGGGCCTTTGCACAGATGGAACATTCTCACCTACATACAGCCTCTCTGCCCCTATAAATCAAGGGTCAGGCAAGGGCCCATATCTACAGGCCAAGGGAAGGAGGTGGAGAAGCAAGAGCTTATAGGTTATTCCATGGTGGACTTGGTCTTCCTGTGATTGAGTTAATGCCTCATGTAACCTACACAGGATAGAATCCTACCATAAATATCATCTAAATGTAAGTGTACTATAAATATAGTAGAACCACTCTCTTCTTTAATCTTTCATCTGATATAGCTTCCCAGCCCCTCTTTGTATTGTTGTTCTAGCTGTTTCATTAAAAGGATAATCTGACAGCATTGAGACCCCACAACTTCAAGGTGAGTGGGCTTTGACAGTGCGTCGTAACTGTCACCCTGGCGGCCGCAGCCCTTTCTCCATACCCAGCCCTGTGTCAAGCACTTAACAGCCATGTCACATGGAATCCTTCCAACCAGCCTATGTGGTTGTGCAGTCATCTACCCATTCTGTAAGCTCAGAGAGGCTGAGTAACTTACCTGCAATCACACAGCGCAGGAGTTTTGTTTTGTTTTTTAATTGCGGTAAAATTCAAATCACAACATGAAATTTATCATTTTAACCATTGTGAAGCAGTTTCATGGTGTTTAGTACATCCATTCATACTGTTGTGAAACTGTCACCTCTATAGTTCCAGAACATTTCCATCACCCCAAAAGCAGCAGTTATATCCATTAAGTGGCTACTTACCATTTCTTCCCACTCACAGCCCCGGCAACTATTAATCAGTGTTCTATCTGTACAGATTAGCCTGTTCTGGACATTTTGTGTGAAAGGCATCCTACAATATGTGACCTCTTGTGTCTGGTTTCTTACACTTAATGTTCTCAGGGTCCATCCAAGTTGTAGTGCGCATCAGTCCTTCATTCCTTGTCATGGCTGGATAATGCTGTTGTATGGATATACCATAATTTGCTTATCCATTTATCTGTTGATGGACATTTGCGTTGTTTCCACCTTTTGGCTATTATGAATAGTGCTGCTGTGAACATTCAGTACCAGTTTTGTTTAAATACCTGTTTACAGTTCTTTTAGGTGTAAACCTAAGAGTGAAATTGCTGATTAGAAATGGCTTTTCAGTGTTGAACTTTTTGAGGAAACCCAGAGTCTTGCTTTTGCCTAGCTGCTCCAAGATGACTGAGTTTTGAGCGCTTTCCCCAGGGCATGGAGTAGTCTGAGAAGGAGAGAGAGTGGGAAGAAAACCAAATGGCAGGAGGCGTGACCAGGGTGGCCTTTTCCTTAGGGCAGCATGGCCTTAAATGTGAGACATTGTTATTGTAATCAAAAAAGTATGAGATACATTTTTATTGTTAAAAAATCCAAAAGATATAGTAGTATAAAAAATCCATTTCCGGGATGTCTGGGTGGCTTAATCAGTTGAGCGTCCAACTCTTGATTTCAGCTCAGGTCATGATCCCAGAGTCGTGGGATCGAGCCCTGCATAGGGTTCTACACCAAACATGGAGCCTGCTTAGGATTCTCTCTCTCCCTCTCTCTCTTCCCCCATCCCACTTGGTATGTGCTCGCTCTCGCTCTCTCTCTTTCTCTCTCTCTCTCTCTCTCTCTCTCTCAAAGAAAAAAGAAAAAAAAAATATTTCCCCCAAACCCATAGTCTTACTGCCACAGTCTGGTGTGTATACTCCCAGACCCAAACATATTTCTGTGTTTTTATAATTGGGAAAATAAATCTATTTTTATTGACAAGGTGGTAAAAGGAATCCTAGATTACACCCATATAAACTGCCCAGTAAACAGAATTGCAAGATTCCCTCCCTTCCCCTGCTCACATCATACTTTCTTTTCTGGATTGTGAGCCCCATCGTGCCCCTCGCTGACTGCTTCTTTGAAGCAGGAAGACCTTAGGCTGACAAGTTTGTCTGTTTCTTGGGGTGAAGTTCTGACTTTTGTAGGTGAGGCTGAGTCCTCTGCTAGCCTTCATCTCAGCCCTCTTCCTCCCCAGAAGGGGAAAACATCAAAGGGGGGAAAAAGGGGTTCCCTTAGCCCAGAGTGAATCTGTCATGCTGTGATGCACGTACCTGCAGAAAGGCGTACCTTCCCACTGTAGATTTTTTTTTAAATTTTTAAATGTTTATTTATTTTTGTCAGACAGAGAAACAGCATGAGCAGGGGAAGGGCAGAGAGAGAGGGAGACACAGAATCCGAAGCAAGTTCCAGTCTCTGAGCTGTCGGCACAGTGCCCAATGCAAGGCTCAAACCCACAAACTGTGAGATCATGACCTGAGCTGAAGTCAGATGCTTAACTGACTGAGCCATTCAGGCACCCTCCTACTGTAGATTAAAAAAAAAATTTTTTTTAATGTCTTACTCAGTTTTTGAGAAAGAGAGAGACCGCGCTGGCAGGGGGCGGGGGGGCAGACAGAAGGAGACACAGAATCCTAAGCAGTTTCCAGGCTCTGAGCTATCAGGACAGAGCCCAACACAGGGCTTGAACTCATGAACTATGAGATCATGACCTGAGCAAAAGACAGATGCTCAACCAGCTGAGCCACTCAGGTACCCCTAGAATTAGAAATGGTGTACTCACTTGGACAGTGAGTAAAAATTCTACTACTCATCCCACTCACCAAAAATAGCTTCTGGGAGTAGTTTCTTATGTCTTTTTCCAAAATTGATTTCCTGTAATTCCTCATAATTCAAAGATTCTGTACTTGCGAATTCACTAAAATTTATTTTTTTAAGTTTATCATTTATTTTGAGAGAGAGAGCAGGGGGTCCGGAGGGAGAGGGAGAGAGAGAATCCCAGGCACTGTCAGCCTTGAGCC